TCCTGCGTGTAATTGTAGAGAACAGTGGATGCCCTGAGGGGCCCTTAGATACCAGAAATTGGGTAGGGAAAGGGAGGCTCAACATGTGAATTCTGAACCCCCCCACCCAGGGGCCTCAGCCTACTTCAGATTACTCGTTATGCAATAAGGTTCAGAGCAGCTGTGTTTGTTTTCAGAACCAATCCCCACCCAGAGGTGGGACCAGGCCCCTGTCCGCTCCTCACCCTATACAGCAAAGTTCCAGCAGTTCCAGGGGATGATCAGCAGAGATGCAGACGCCCACAGTTGCTAGGGCGCTGGACCCTTCTACACTGGACACAGGGTGAGGCCTGAAAGTCCAGGCACCCTGAGGAGCTGGGCAAACTAGGAGAGAAAATGGCGCTGGGAGAAAGGAAAGTTACACCCTGGACGGGCAACCTGTGAAGAAGTGGCTCCCGGCTGGGCCAAAAAGCCTCATCCTATGCCGTCTCATTGACCTAAGCTCCACCCTGAATGCTTCCAGTATGAGGTGCTGGACTGGCTCTGGGCTGCCTGCTTGGGTTGAGGGTTTGCTCCTAGGAGAGGCATGTGTTTCTCGCACGACTGTCACAAGCGAGTGAGGGCTCCGGAGGTGGAGGGCCCGAGAGGGTGGGGAGCTCAGGCGTCAGCGATAGCCAGATTTCCGTCCACCCATCCGTCCGTCCGTCTGTCCATCCATCCATCCACCCATCCATCCAATCAAGCCATACCGGATTCTTCAGGAATCCAGTCATTCATTTATATTTAGGTTAAAGACCCTCTCTCTGGTTCCTCTCTAGAACGCAGTCTCGAGCCGCTCCCGAAGCAGACCAAGGCCGTCTCCTGGCCGGGTCATCTACAGCCCCGCCCCTCATTTGCCTCGCTCCATTCCCGTAACGTTGGCGTTCTGTCGTCAGGCCCCGCCTTCTTTGTTTCGTCACTCGGTTGCTTACCTTAACTCTAGGTAGGAGCACTCAGCAAGGATACTGTCCTCTGCTGCTGTTGCCATGGCGACTATTTCAACGCCCTGCCTCTTCACCCCAGGAAAACCTTAGCGGAACCCGTCACCATGGAAACGAACTCTCCGGACTCCTAGCACGCATTGGGCTGGCCCTGCCCCGTCGACAGGGGAGGAGCAAAACGCAACCAAAACGGGATTAATTCCTCAGAGGCCGCGCCCCCTCCTAAGAAGGCCCCACCCTGTCCCGGTCTCACCCCTCCTCGAAGTACTAATTCAAGGAAATACTCCGCGAATAGTGAGGGAGTGTCCTGCCCCCCTGTTCCCTCAAGGCCCACGGTCGCTTGATTCCACAGGAAGTCCTCCCGGACCTCTCAGGGTGATCCCCTCCGGAAGCCCAGCCTCAGCCTCGCAAAGCCTCTAGTCGTTGACCTTTTCGTTGCGATTATATTCGAGAGGGAGCTTCAGAGGGCGCCATGAGGTTCCCCTGTGCTTCCCCTTTGCCCTTTGCCCTCTTCGCTTCAAGAGGAGCCTTGGCTCTCTGATTCTTTTTATTATTATTATTATTTTTTTTTTTTTTGAGGCGGAGTCTTGCTCCGTCTTTATATTTAGGTTAAAGACCCTCTCTCTCTGGTTCCTCTCTAGGACGCAGTCTCGATCCGCTTCCGGAACAGACCAAGGCCCTCTCCCGGCCGGGTCATCTGCAGCCCCGCCCCTCATTTGCCTCGTTCCATTCCCCTAACCAGGCTGGAGTGCAATGGCGCGATCTCGGCTCACTGCAACCTCCTCCTCCCGGGTTCAAGCGATTCTCCTGCC